CCTCACACCCGACCAAGTCGAAACCCTCTCCTCTCGCGGCGGCCAAACGGTCGCCGTCCAGGTCAACGGCAAGCTCCGCTGTGCTGTGACCATTCCGCGTATGGAGTCTCCGGTGACAGCATCGCCGCAGGGCAAGAATTCTCCTTCGCAGGAAGAACAGGATTGGATCATCAGTCGAGTGTTAGAGACTTCTGAGGGGAAGTTGTGGCTTCGGGAGAAGAATGACTGGGAGAAGAGACGGCGGGTTATTGTCATCAAGGGGGGTAAACTTGTCAATGTCGTTTTCTGAGTTCCCTATACCTTGGTATAAGATGTGGGATTTGTATTACTATTTCTATCTTGGATAGACTTGTATATTATTTTGATAGGTATTGCATAAAGCTTTCTCTTCTCCCTTTGTTTCTCTTTCTTTTACAGGAGGGTTATGCCGAACGCCTGAGATATCAGGCCTAGTGTGGCTATAAATGGCTATAAATGGCATCTTCTTCTTTTCCCTCTTCATATATTTCTCTTACCATCATTATTCCTACAAAGGTTTAGACTTTATAAGATGAGGATTTCCTAGACGATGTCATCACTATTATATATGAACACAACCCATGAGCCTCCTAGAACCGAGAGGTTATGAGCGCCGTGCTCATGGAGTGGTTCTGAAAGCCACCAAAATGGCAAAGTACTAGCTCCTTCGCAGGCCATGGTTCATAAGAGCCACTCTAACATCAACAGATTACTTCTTTCACATTATCCACAAGAGTACCACATTCGAGTCCTCCGTGCATCGACCAGGAAGGAAATTCCCAATGCACACTCTAGAATGATCCTTCCAGCCTTGAGAGATATAATTACAAGCCTGTCTGAGCCGATCATAACGACCTCAATTCAGGATTATGCTAGTTTGCAATTACTTGGACCGTAACTCGCAAATGAGGCCGTCCTAGCTCGGGATACTGCGCTGGCCGAGATGGTTTACTGGATACAAGATATCTATATGAATTTGCTAGAGTGACTCTCCTCGCATCAACCGCCAGTATCCGCCTACTCGCCCTGGTGGTCCATTTGCACGAGCCGGTGAAATCTCAGAAATTCAAGAAATCACCGACTGGCTCCCCGCGAAGAGTCTGTTTAGTGGAGTGAATGCCTTTGGGTTTCTTTCCCATTAGCCTGGTTGTCTGCCTCCGCGCTAGTAACGTTGGCCGAAGCAGAGAGCAATTCTGGAGCTATAGGTTTGGGTTTACCAAGAAAGCAGCACTTTTTCGTGGTGTGCAGCATCCATGCAGTATACGTAGACGCATATCATTTGCTCCCTTAATCCTCGACATCCGTAGGTATATAGCAAGTCTCTTGTTCTGATAGAATCCAGACAAGCTCTGTAGCGGGTCATGCATTCCCACGACATAGGAAACCCCACGCCGGAGAATGCAGGTCGGCTGTCCTCCGAAGAGGCTCCTTGATCAGGGTTGGGTATAATAGAAGACGTTGACAAAGTCGAACAAAATTATCCATTACCCAATTCGCTCCCCCCTTCAGCTCCCTCCGGAAAAGAAGATCCCCCACGCCCTCCAACCGGCAAAGTCTCACCCATCGGGAAACTGAGATATTTCCAATCCTCAATCTCCTCAATAATACACTTCAACCGATCCCGTATACTCTCAACAGCATACGTACCCAGAATCAGCCTCAGAGGCGGGTAAGAGCAATGACCAAGCTGCCAAACCAAATGCGCCGCCTTTACCGCACTAGCAGGCTGCTTATCGCCCAGCCACATGAGCATACGTCGCGCATGCGCCGCCGGCGACGTAACCGTATTATACGGCTCACTGGGCGGCTTAACCAGAAAATGGCCGTAGAGCGGCAAGGGCGACGAAAGCTGATGTTCAGAAGGGTTAGGCACGACCGCAGATGGCGAAACCAAATCCCCAATATCATCACGACGCATATGACCAGGCTCAACGAGCGTACCCTTAATATTAAAACTATCCACCTCATACAGCATACTCTCCATCAAGCCCTCGACGGCGTATTTGGATGCACAGTATGGTCCGAGGCCCGGCACACCGAGCGCGCCAGACGTCGAGCTGAAAATGAGGTATCTCCCCGCGCGACGCTGACGGAAATGCGGTAGCGAGAGCTGGATCATGTTCAGGGTTCCTGTGAAGTTTGTTTCGAACTGGTTGCGGATGTCGAATTCATCTTGGTCTTCGCAGGCGCCGATGACGCCGTAGCCGGAGCAGTTTGCGATTATGTCAATTCGGCCGAAGCGGGTTATTGTTTGGTCAATTACGCGCTTGACGGTCTCTCGCGCTCGTACGTCGCATAGGAGTCCGATGCAGTTGGCTGATTCTAGCTCTTTCATTGCTGCGGGGCTGTTCTCGTAGGTGCGTCCGACGGCTGCTACTAGGTCATTGTTGGCGAGGGCGGTTTTTACTAGGGAGCGGCCCATGTGGCCGGTTGCGCCGAAGATCTGGGGGTGTGTTAGTGTTTCTTGGGGTTTTTGCTTAGGGAGGGGTTGTATACCAGCCATACGAGCGGTTTGGCGGGGTTCTGGGGACCCGGGGGATCGGTTGTTGAAGGGAGATGAAGTCTTGGTTCGCGTGATGCTGGAGAGGAGGGACCTCCTTTTGGGGATGTCTGCTCCATGGTGTGGCTCAGGTGAGGGGAGAAAGAGGAAGATGAATCTCCGCATTTGGGGTTTCTGTCCCTACGGCGCGGTATAGCGACAAATCCGAAATAAGTTGCCGTTAACTATTTCCTTTTCTAGATTTGATGAAATTGACTGTCATTGCAGGCTTTACTTGATATACTTCTATCCCATTACCCATATACACCAGAAATAAAACACAATTATCGTCCAACCTCCCGTCGCAGCCGTCCCGCAGCTGTCGAAGGTCCTGGTTCTGGCCAGCTGCCCACTGCATCATCAACCTCTTCCATGAAGGTTGTACTGTTATGAATAGAAGTACCACCAAGAACGACTCGCACACCCGGGGAGCTGGCATTGACTTGCGCTACCATCTTCGCCTCCTCGTACGTGGTGCCACCAACCATAAAGATGATGATGTCTTGCGGTTTGTCCCGCGTGTGTCCACTGCCCTCGAGGAAAGGGTATTGCAGTTCTTTCAGGCGGCCTTTGATGAGGTTTTGTAGAGTCACTTCTAGTCTGGGGGAGTGTTGTGTGTAGACGTTCTCGACGCCTTTAAGACCCTTGAACCGGTTGCTTGCGCCGGAGAAGAAGGAGGTTGATTCGAAGAGGTCAGAGAACCCGCCTGCGACTGGTGGGGCTTGGAGGGAGTGGTGATAGGTGAGGAGCTTGGGGATAATATTTACGCGGTTTGGTGAGACTTCGCCCGCTGTGGCGAGGAGATCAAGGAGAATTGGTAGCGCGTTGTTGGGTTGCTTCTCATAGCGAAGGGCATAGAGAGCCACCAGGCGCAACTTATTATCTGAGGGCACATTAGGCTGCCCGATGATTCGTTGTAGTGACTGGAGAAGAAGGGTGAGTCCGTGAGCAAAGCATAATCAGTTTAACTATTGAACATACCCTAAGATCATTGGAGTGGTTATCATTGCATGCCAGGCTCTGCTCCAACTCGCTCACATCGAGGAGGGTATCTTCACCGACGCGCCGACTGAGTTCACCCACCAGGGTAACGTGCTTGCTCACATTACCTGCCAGCTTGCGGAATTCGGGATAATCCTCCACAAAACGCTTCATGTCCGCAATGGACTCGATATTCGCGGTGCTTTGAGTTTTGGTTTGGTACTGCTCCACATATTCTTTAATGTTCTGGCCCAGATCACCAAAGTTCTGATACATATTCTTCTTGAAGAAGGGGTCCTGGTCCTGAGCCAAGACAATCTCTTTCAGTTCCGGTCGGATATCTGGCACATCGTGCAGATCCACCCGGCCGTTGTTGATGCCAAGCATCTCATGTACCATGGCCTGATATGTCCACTGAGTCAGCAACGGGGTGATAGGATCATCGCGGCGGTCAAGAACAAGCAGGATAGGAGGTGTATCGGTCCGGCGGAAGTTAAATAGCTGCTCCTCCTGCGTGATGTGGTATCGGACCTCCGTAGCCAATTTCCGGGCCAGTAGGCTGTTCTTCTCATAGCGAATAAGCGGATTCTTCTTCAACGCGAGGAGCAGGGCCAGGACCCCCTCGGTAGCTCTTTGTAACGAATCTGGGTTCCATAAATCCGGCGAATGGCTCCATATCCGTTGCAATGGGAAACCTAAGCCCAAAGAGCAAAGGTCCGGGTTGATAACGAGGAAGTCGGCAAACTGTTCCTGGACCGACTGGACGACCTCGTGACTGTCCGCTTCTGCCAGCCGCTCCAGGGCGGATTTGCGGATGATGTTGCTAAGGTAGATATAATATTCGCCGTATTTAGGTTCTCGCAGCTCGTCGATCAAAAATTGAATAGAGGTGGGTGATGGGCGTACGAAGCATAGGCATCGTAGATGTCGCATCTTCTCGCGCGCGGCATTGTCCAAGCGGTCAATGAGGTAGACCTCGTGGTTTAGAAGGGCGGATTGGGTGATTGCGGTCGAAACAATAGGGACCTATACCCATAGGGGTTAGGTTAGCAATCAGATCAGTATATTGCCAGGGTAAATCCACCCACTGTCTCACTATCCAGAAGCAAGATCTTCATCTTGGATGACGAGGTTCCGGACTCACCCACGGTGACCATCTTGGAGATGTACCCCGAGGCAGCCGCGACGACGTCCATGGTGGGGAGATTTCACCAGGAAATAAGTTTTTTCAAAGTGGCTATTAGCTCCTGATTGAGGCTGTTCAAGCTGTTGAAGATCGAGGGGCTGAATGTGGAGAGGGCGGAAACTTGTTGGGGGGAATTCCACTTTCCACATGACGAGCTGTTTTCTTTTCCTTCTTTTTGGCTTCTTCTTCCTTTCTTCACTGCTCTGATCTTCTTTTTGACTTCTTCTTTCTTTTTTGTCTGTTTTGTCTGTTCTTTCATCTTCTACATGGTCAACAATGTTGCCCTATGTAGATCAGAGTATGTCAACCCTCATTCAAACTTGGGAAGCTCGGTCTAACTAACACTTCTCCCCGCAGTATTTGAGGTGCCAGCTAAACTCACTGGCGCATCAACTGATGAGCGTACGATCTTCCATTTCCATAAGCTCCCGAATTGCTAGCAATTGCTGACCCCCAGCTCCAGTCAAGCTGATCGGCTCGTTCCTCCTCTCCTACCCACTGGCCGCCCTCCTCAAACGTATCCCCGATGGCCAACCCTGGAAGAAGAATGTCTTCATTATCGCCGTTTCGTTGTTCTATATTATCGGACTCTTCGACCTCTGGGATGGTCTACGCACCTTACTATACAGTGCCGCGGCTACCTATGCAATCGCCTACTACGTGGATGGATCACTGATGCCGTGGATTGGGTTCCTTTTCCTGATGGGCCACATGTCGATTAACCATATCGATCGTCAGAGGGCGAACGACAAATCGGCCGTTGACATTACTGGAGCGCAGATGGTCATGGTCATGAAACTTAGCTCATTCTGCTGGAACATTCATGACGGCCGTCTGCCCAAGGACCAACTCTCGGATTCGCAGAAGTACTCTGCTATTACGAAATTCCCGGGTATTGTAGACTATCTGGGCTATGTCTTGTTCTTCCCTTCTCTCTTTGCCGGTCCTTCCTTTGAATACGTGGATTATCGCCGTTGGATCGACACTACGCTCTTTGAAGTTCCGCCAGGCACTGACCCATCCAAGGTGCCAGCTACCCGGAAGAAGCGTAAGATCCCTCGCAGCGGAAGACCTGCTGCACTGAAGGCCGCCGCCGGGTTGGTCTGGATCTTCGCCTTCATCCAACTGAGCTCATACTTCACCACCGACTTTGTGCTTTCAGACGCCTTCTTGCAGTATTCCTTCCTGCGTCGCGTTTTCACTGTCTTCATGCTGGGTTTCACCGCTCGCACCAAGTATTACGGCGTCTGGGCTCTGACTGAGGGTGCCTGTATTCTATCCGGCATGGGATACAACAGCTTCGACCCGAAAACAGGCAAGGTCTTCTGGAATCGACTGCAGAATGTCGATCCGTGGGCGATGGAAACGGCACAGAATTCCCATGCTTACCTAGCCAACTGGAACAAGAACACCAACCACTGGCTGCGCAACTACGTCTACCTCCGCGTTACGCCGAAGGGCAAGAAACCGGGCTTCCGCGCTAGCCTGGCTACCTTCGCCACCAGCGCCCTCTGGCACGGTTTCCACCCAGGATACTACATGACCTTTATACTGGGCTCGTTTATCCAGACCGCGGCAAAGAGTAAGCACCAATACACCTCCATAATCCACTCCCTCCATAACTTACCATTCAATAGACTTCCGCCGCTACGTGCGCCCCTTCTTCCTCACACCGGACGGCACCAAGCCAACACCAAACAAGCCCTACTACGACATCCTCAGCTGGCTGGCAACACAGCTGACCCTTTCCTTCGCCGTCATCCCCTTTATCATCCTCAACTTCGACGACTCCGTCACCGTCTGGTCCCGCCTCTACTTCTACGGCATCCTTAACTGCGCCGTTTCCCTAGTTGCCTTCGCCTCCTTCTCCCCGCTCAGAAAATACCTCGTCTCTCAACTGAAGCACCGCAGCCGTCCTAACGCCGTAAGCACCGACACCGTGCTTCCACCTGACCTAGGCCTGCCGAATGATCCCGAGCGTGACTTTGACGAGGCTGTTGCTGAGATCAAGGCTGAGATCGAGTCCCGTGGTAGACGTGGAAGTACGGTTAAGATGCCTACAGGCGCGGAGCTGAAGGCTGCCGTTGAGCAAAAGCTTGGGCGGAAGTTGTAGGCTGTAGCAGTTTTGGTTGAGATCTAACAGTGAGAGGTGACTATTAGAAGCGGGGTGAATAGCCGGTCTGGATCAGCGTTTCGGTGTACTCTTTTTTTATAGAACAGTAGGAGTGTTTCGTCTTTATTATGTTTAATAGCGATGGTTGGTCGAGATCAGTCTATAGATATTCCAAGGATTGGATGGGTTTTAGAGAATTGCGAGCTTTGATTTGATTTCAATTACTTTCAAAGAGTAATGAAGAAGTTGAGTATAGCATAAGTAAATTGTGATACATAGAATGCCGAAGAGAAGAAGTGAAAAGCACAATAACAAAAACATATATCCAATACACGGACGTATAGCATAAATGTAAACAAAGGCTGTCACCATGCATAGAATCCCAACAAACATATAAAGCCGTAGACAGATCCGAGGCAAATGTTGAAACGTCGAGAGAATGTAAAACAGAAGGATATTTATGTGCGTTGAAGTCGTGGAGTCGTTCAGAACAAATGTGCAGACAGAGAAGCGAAAAGAAGAACGTAAGAAGGGGCTGAATCGTCAATAATCAAGAAGAGATCACAGCAAGGAGAAGACGTCTGCAATATAGCGAACAGCAAGGGGAAAAGAAACCAGTCGACTGGCTGTCCGGGAGCTCAACCGCGAAGAAAAAGAAGAGAAAAAAAGCATCAAGTAATCACCAGTGTTGAAAGTCCAAGTCGTAAGAGCGTAAATAAAAAGACCGCAATAAAACGCAGTTCAGTCCAATCCGGGGAACAAATAGCCCTAAAAACCCGTGGTAGTCCCAATAACAGCAAGCACAATAATAATAACAAGTATAGCAACCCCGAGCGAAATCATCCACCGATTAAGATTCCTCCACCAGCGCGCATTATCCCTCCTCCGCTGCTGCAGATTCACATTCTGAGCCTCAAGCGCCATCCCCACATCCGGAGAGTGAAACTCGACCATCTGCGCGGCCTTCGGCTTAGGCGGCAGAGGCAGAAACGCAGCCACACACCACGCCGGCGGGAAAATGAACCCCAGGCAGAATGAGTAGACCTGGATATTTCGCCGGCCGAGGACAGGCTCGTAGCGCGAGTCGAGGGAGGGCGGCCGCCACCGACTCGTCGAGTGCTGGACGACACGTCGGTCGGGGACGAGATGCGGGGACCAGCTGTGGCGGAGGCGGTAGAGGTGGCTGCTGGTGAACTCGCCGTCTTCGGGTTGCGGGGACGGGACCCAGTGGGCGCGTGGATCGCGCGGGTCGCTGTCTACGCGGCGTTGGGTGATTTCTTGGCTTCGCGGGGCATCGGGGAGGGGACGGTCTGGGGAGCGGGGACGTGGGACGTTGAGGGGACCCGGGACGAGGTTGAAGATGCTTGAGTTTGAGGTTCCGGGACGAGAGGAGGGTGGGCGAGTGGATGGTGGGCGGGTTGATGGTGGACGGATGGATGGCGGACGGGAGGCGTCCATCATTGAGAGAGTTGAGTTTAGGCCCATTGGTTCGCGGAGGTAGTAGACTTTTGCCCAGGTTGGGAGGATGTTGAGGATTGTGCTTGATCCTGTGCCTGGGCGTTGGAGGCTGCGGGTGCTGTCGCTTCGTTTTGAGCCGGAGGAGAGACTTTGGCTTTGGGAGAAGACCGGGCGGTTTGGGAGCTTGGTTAGGCTGTCGAGACGTTCGTCTTCGCTGTCGTTGGAGGGGTCGACAAGCCAGACGGAGGATCTGGTTGTTTCTGTCGCTAGGGCTGCTGGTGGTGGTGGGGTTGGCGCTGCCATATCGCGGTCTGAGTCCGTGTCTGCTTCTCCAGCGAGCTTGGTTGATTCATCGGCGGACCAGATGGATGAGACAGTTGAGAGGTGCGGGTTCCAGCGTCCTGATGCCAAGTGGGGATTGCAACGTCCGGATGGAGGGCCAGGGGTGAAGTCGCGTTCTGACGATGCACCGGTGCGGGAGCTTGAAGATGGCGCGCGAATACGCGGGTATTGAATGGGTACGCCATTGTCGATGGCAGCCTGCAAGTCAGAAGCGGAACGGAGACTGCGCGAAGAGGATGTTGCTGATTGGGAACGGCTGCCCGACGGCGCCCTGGATGACGAGCGGAACGAGGCAATGGATTGCGCGATCGGACTCGAGTGGAATGAGGCTATAGACTGCGCGGGTGGGCTGGAGTGGAATGACGGGGATCCATAGCTCGATTGCTCGGACGAGGCCGGTTGGAAGGCGTTTTGGAACCAGGGTGCAGACCCCACGTGCCGAACCACGGTTCCTCCTGAGTTATACGACGAGAGCGAGTTTGTGCGCGGGTCCGACTCTGAATGGAAGTTCATGCTCGAGTTATCCAGCATTACAAAGTTGGGACTTGACGGGGCCCCGATTTGTTCAACTATAGGGCTGGAGTAGCCAGTCACGGACTCGGCAGAAGATTTTGGCGACATAGTTGACTCCGAGCGTACGGCTTTTATCGTTGGGGTGGTCGTCGGCAATCCCATATCATCATCTGAGAAGTCCGCTTCTGAACTCTCGGACCCATAGTCTGGTGCTTTCCCCGAGCCTGGCAGCGACGACTTGCTGGAGGATGGGTCGTCATCCCACAACTGCGGGGGCGAGTTGCCGGTATCCACGGTGGAGGATACATCCCAGCTACCAATTGAGTGATCTCGCGGGCTGTGGGGTGCCGGGTGGCTGAAAGCCGGTGAGGAATAGGTCGACGTGGATGATCCCAGGTGGTGATCGGAGTAGCTGAAACCGGTGTCTGATATGTATTGTTGTTGGCCTTTCCCGGGAAGCGGCAAGAGAATCTGCTCCGGCTTGGTCGGAAATGGGGTTGCGGTGTACATATCAAGTTCTTCATCCGGGACGATGCGTAATGAGCGGGTTGGTGATCTTTCATTGGAGTGCGAGGGCGTACGCTCGTGCAATGGCCTTCGCGCGCGGGGCGAGGTTGAGCGAGCGGGAAAAGACATTATTCGGACACACTGAGAGCATTGATTGAAAAGACTGATTGAGTAAAGTCGACGGCAAAGGGCAATTGGCAAACCAGATGTGTAAACAAGTCAAAAGAGTGTTGTTGTTTTTCCGAGTCGAGTATCCGATGTAAGGAATGTGGTACCCTTGGATATCCAGGGTGGTTCTATAGGCTGATGTTCATCAAAAGAGTGTGGGCAGACGTGCAGAAGTCGTCAATTAGGTCGTTTCAAACATCCAAGGCCATTAAAGAGAGTGGTCGAAAAACAATCATTAAAACGTTTCAAAACAAAAAGGACAGAAAAGCAGAGGCGCACACGAAGTCGAAGAAGAACGTGAGACACTTGGAAGGGAGGAATTTTGTTGCCCCAGCGGTGAGCGTCTAGGCAAGTGAGATCTTAGACTGCAGGGGTTATGCAGGCTGCATGCACTTGAATTGACAGTCTGGTGGCTATTAACGATTGGATGAGATCAAAAGTACAAGTTGCAATTGGTTTGTTTCTTCTGGTTGGACTGGTTGCAATTGGGATGTTCTGTTCTGGTGTCTGTTCTGGTGTCCGTTCTGTCTGTTGATATTTACATCTCATACTCCCTGGGCTACCGTTTAAATATATAAATCCATATTGAATGCGGAGTAGCCATTCACAAACTGACTCCTTGAAACATCTCGTCTCATTTAATCGCAGAATCGAAGTGGAGCCGGTGTGCGTTGTCCCTGATCCTGATGAACTGCCAATGAACTGCCACTAGTCTACTCCATCTATGCGTCGGTCCAGGTCTGACAGGCAGAATGCAGGCCGAGAACAATAATCAGACGCTCATTGCCAATAAATGTCTCCCTCGTGTAATCGGAGAATAACTGTCCACGATCCCTCGCATTGACTCAGACAATTCCAGGGGTGAGAGCTCACATCCTGTTTTTGCACGGTCCACCAGTTCGAATCAGGTTTGGCTTGAAACCGGCGGTGTTCGTCTAGCCTGAAACCGAGATTCTGGTCAATGCTATGTATAGATCGACTATATATACCGGAATATGAACGTCGGACTGTCGATATCAAAAGAACAATAGGAACAACCATGATCACGTCCACGGTGCATGGTGACAGTACATTACTGTATTGTATTATTTCCAGCCAATCACCGTTCCTCTCCCCGTACGGTAACACCAACAAAGCACTCCCTCCTCTCTCATCCATCCCCATAAATAGCAACCTCCCCAACTCTGCAGATCATGGCGCCGGTAGGGATAATGGCTCGACTGAGGAGTCTGTACTCGAAGCAGGGTGAGTCAAGGGGGAATCCTAAAAAAAAGAGTCTCGACTAACAATCCAGATGAACCTGCCCTGTCAGAACATACCGTTGCTTTTCTCTCTGTATGTAGAACTCCTAGAAACAACAAGAACACGATGAACACGAAAAGAAAAAAACCACAATTCACAATCTCGTATCTAACTCCCATCAGGTCCTCCTCACACTACTCTACGTGTTACCATTCTATCTCTCATCAACAACCCGCCCATCGCCAAATCTCAGTCGCGATGCCCCGTCCGTGATTCGCGCCCGCATTCGCGCCGTCACGGGATCCTGTATCGTGAGCTCCGTCCTCGTCCTCTGGCTCATCATCGAGGATAATTCCTCTCTCGGCGCCGGTGTCAGACTCCTCGGCTGGTGGCCCGTCGGCCTGCTGGAGACCCTTCGGAGTCTTTTCCTCACCGCGGTTCTGTTCCTCGGCCCGCTCTTCGAACGTGGCATTGTGGAGGGCGAATGGAAGTTCTGGTTCCGTCGTAGTAAGCTCTCTGAGAGTCTCGGTGGCTGGATTGGCTGGAGAAATTATGTCGCGGTATGCAATTGCTTTTCGTTTTCCATCTTTTCTTCCCTCCCTTATTTTAACAACATTTCAATCTAATATCTTTTAGGGCCCCTTCACAGAAGAAGTCATGTTTCGATCCGCCATGGTACCGCTGCATTTACTCGCACACACCTCGCCGGGCCGGATCGTGTTCCTGGCACCGCTGTATTTCGGCATTGCGCACGTGCACCACTTTTACGAGTTCTGTCTGACCCATCCGGACACCCCGGCTCTGGCCGCCCTGCTGCGGTCGCTCTTCCAGTTTGGCTACACGACTATTTTTGGCTGGTATGCGACCTTTGTCTATTTGCGGACCGGCTCGTTGCTGGCCGTGGTTCTCATCCATAGTTTCTGTAACTGGTGTGGATTGCCGCGGTTCTGGGGACGGGTCCAGGCGGGTGAATATATCAGTCCCCCTATTACTCGGGGTAAAGAGGATTCTGATGATAGTATCCAAGTTGGGGTAAGGGGTAACAGTGGCTTGGGTGTTGGGTGGACGGTGGCTTATTATGTACTTCTTGTTGCTGGAGCGCTTGGTTTTGCTCAGGGGTTGTGGCCTTTGACTGAGTCTTATCATGCTCTGGTTTCATTTTCGGACAAGTCGAATTAGGTTGGTAGCTTGGCTTTTGGTCTAAGCTTGGTATATTTTGAATTGCTCCGGCATATACATTGGGCTGTTACATTTCGTGTTCTGTTTATATGTTGAACCGACATTGTGTTTGTATAGCATAACCTAGCACTTCAAGTCGATACATATTATTAGCTACTACAATTATTTCACTGAATTATGGAACTTTGAAATTGGCATTGGCACTCGAAACAAAACAGATTGATTTGTTGACAAGTAGGGAGAGTCGTCGACAACATGGAAGAATGATATGCCGCCCATTCCGTCAAGAAGCAATATCCCGTCTTCATTTTATTCGCACTCTTCCTTCAAGCCCGTAGATATGCGAAATGCTGTCAATTCTCAGAAATGTGTTGAAGCGACATGGCCGGCCAGGGGGGCCCCTGTCGATAACCTGCCGAGGTAAGCGAGGAAGTCCGTGCTGGAGACCGTTGCTGATGTTCCAGGCATACCAATTCTCCGTGAGGACCTTTTCGCTTACACCAATAGTCATTTCCTGGTCGATGAAGAACATCAGCTCAGCCGACGATATGTCCGGTTCAATGTGGATGCGCTTTGCAATACCGTGGCCACGGCCGGGGATTCCAGTCCGGTCACAGCAATTGAGAAGATGGAAGGGGGGTTTAGCAAGGCTTTTTTGATGAGGAAAGCAAATGGAACGGAAGTTATAGCCAAAATTCCATGCCGCATTGCTGGTCCGCCTTCATTGACAACGGCTGGTGAAGTAGGAGTTTTAGAATACGGTATGATGGTTCCTATTCCAGAGAGAGTCGAGTGGCTAAGACGTACAGTCGGGAGACACACTAGCATTCCTGTCCCTCGTGTTCTTTCCTGGTCGTCGGATAGTTCGAATGCCGTTGGCGCCGAATATATAGTTATGGAGAAAGCTGCCGGGGTTCCTCTATATGAACGATGGAGGAGTATGACTGAATTCGAAAGGCTACAGCTGATCAAGAACTTGACCAAGCTTGAGGCTCAGCTGTCGGCTATCTCGTTCCCTGCTTACGGAGGACTATACCTCCGGACTGACATGAGCCGACCGAACAGGTCTCTCGGTGATGAAATCGATCCATCCAAGTCTTTCTGCATTGGACCTTCTTGCGATAAGAAGTTTAATCCTGATACTACTCTAGAATTTGACCAAGGACCCTGTGCGTTACCTATACAACCTGGCAGTTCACCTACTAACATTTCACAGGGGATTCAATTTCAAGCTTGGGAATATCCATTACACGGCGTGAATTGCTTCGAATATCAAGAGGCCAACAAAGCCGATCGAGCTTTTACAAAGGAACCGTTGAACAACAAACCCAGCTCTTGGAAGTCACAGCGAACCTCATGAAGCTTTTAGACTCGAACCAAATATTAACGGGAGCTTGTCAGCCTACCCTATGGCACACCGATCTTCATATGGGAAATATCTTTGTCGCCCCAGACGAATGTTCAAGAATAGTATCCCTTATCGATCTTCAGTCAACGTCTATACTCCCCGCATTTCTCCAGGCGCAATGGCCGATATTTCTGAAGCCTCCGCAGACTTACGATTATGTCAAGGGAATATTCCAACCGCAACTCCCTGATAATTTCAACGAACTAGACAAGGACAGCAAAGCCATTGCATTCCGCGAATGGTCACAGGTAAAACTAGCAAAGGCTTACGAGGTCTCGACCTATCTCGAAGACAGAGCAGCGCATAATGCCATGAACGTACCCCGTGTCTTCCGAGAACTATTCACCCGATGCGGAGAAATCTCCGAAGTGGGCATTGTCCCGCTCCGCGAATGCTTGATAGAGATTTTACAGAATTGGTCAAGTCTTGGATTTTCAGGAAAATGCCCTTATTCATTCAGCCGGGACGAGCTCGATGCACATGGACGTCAGTTTGCGGAATACCGAGCCTGGCATGACGTTCAAGCGCTTGCTGAGGAATGTCTTGATACTGATGCGGAGGGGTGGATTGCGCCGCCGTTGGATATAGACGAGAAAAGAAGGCAGAATGGGGAGCTACTGGACCTGTACATCGAGAAGGTTTCTGGGGAGAAATCTGCGGAGGATGCGAAAGCGATGTGGCCTTTCACGGTTGAGGCTTGATTACGTTCGGTTGGGTCGACACAGAAGTGCTTTTGGCAGTGCCTATGACCATGCAACCGTTTTCTGGAGACGAGAGACAAAAACATAGGCAATTGAGGTCTTCGGTCTTATATCATTGGTTTAATTTCTTATATGCTTCCCTGTTCAAAGGGTATCTGCAACTTTATTCGAATAATGATACTCGAGGCCTTCCTAGATCACGCATAATATATTCCTGTATATTATACTTCACTTCCGTATTAAATCAAATGATCGGGCTTTTATTTGATTTTGTCGAACACTGAGGTGGATCCATAGTGAAATTCGAGGATGAGACCAGGTGAAAAGCCCAGCTCATCCGGGATGAAACGGGATGACCAATCCCACAGAAACGTGCATGTTCAGTTCGACATTTCCTAGCTAGTACTCCGTAGAGACTTTACATATCTGTTAAATTACATCATACTTTTTCGTACTGCATACAGTCGAACCGCAAAAGTTTCCGCGAACCAGCCCAATCGTCAAAATATATATTTCAATCCACATACTTAAAACATTAACTAGACATCCATCTCTAATGAGAAAAATATATAAAAATATGATCGTAATAGCTAAATAGCCTACGTATTGAATGTAAGTTTTAATATTTTATATATCATTCTTTAGAAGCAATGTTCAATCATTGAAGATAGTGGATGTAATTGCGCAAAGGCGGTATAGAGAAATTTCCGCGGAAACTTATGCGGTAGAACTGTATTTCTGTCAGATTTCACTATGTATTTCTAATAGTTCCTGAGTCCTTTAGGATCTCCGAATATGTCACCAGCCATAAATACAAGCAGAATGTCCATGCTCTTGTTGGCGACTTGGTTTGTCGAGAAATCAAGAAGTTGGGTCTTCCTGACGACTGGCCCTTGCTGGCTCGAATGAGCTTCGAGGACTTGAGCTTGCATTCTTCCGAAAATCGTGATAGCCATGACCTATGTCCCAGACATATATATCAGCTTCCAAGAAAGATGAATATATCTTGAATCTATACTCATAGGAATAGTGTTATATTCTAAACATTCCTCTCGCGTAATCATAGCTGCGGTAAGAATAGGAACGACTCAACCATAGAACTATATCATCAAAGGTTATACGCTGTATGTGTAAGAAGGACATCTAGAAGGACCACTCAAAAGACCATCTTCATTCACCTCTCTAGTCACAGTGTCAATTCCCTGTTATTCTCATTTATATCTCCATAATTATAGAATGCTCTAATCAAGTCTTCACTAAAGTATCTCTCTTCCCACAGCCCAATCACACATAAATACTAAGCCATAATAAACCTGCTTATCACATGTCATAGCCTACTCACGGGGCTAGGCAGTGTAGAGCTCCGCAGGCTTCGGTGGAGATCCTTTCAACTCATATGCATGGTAGCTCTCGTGGCCACGGGCCACTTGGTAAGATGGCTGAAATAGAGGAGTAGGTTGGGCTGCCGGAAGGGCTGCTAATTTTCGATTCCTTCTCTCCCAAAAGGCCCATCCAATGGATAGGAGAGCAATAGCTGCGAGAGGAACCCCAACTCCTGCACCGATTGCAATTTCCCTAGACTCATTGCAGCTGTTTTCGTTGCTGGCAGTAGCGGTAGCGGTAGCGGTAGGGACAGGGGTAGTGGCAGCCGTAGTGACAGCCGTAGTGACAGCCGTATCGGTACCATTGGCAACGAAGGAAGATGTATTGTTGGATATTTCCTCAAAGTTTGAGAGAACCCCGGCACTGGGAATAATGTATCCGTCGAGGATCTTAAAACTGGTTTGAGTTGCACCATCGACGTTGCTACAAATCTTTTCCCCAGAAAACGGATCAACAAGGACTGAGTTGCAACAATAGGTCGCGTTATTTTCACTCCCGTCGAGCCATACAACAGCTGAGCCGGCACCTCCTTGGGCCTTGACTGATAACAGGAGTCAGATAAAGGATATAGATTATGTTAGATGAATGTCAGACCTACCACATATATCTGTACATCGGCTGCTTCTCCAAGTACTATCGGTACAACCACCACGAGACAGCGAGAAAGGTTGCTTCATTGATAAGCATAAGCCGTTGGTAAGACATATAGACGTGTTTGCGCAACAGTGAGAGAAATCTCCATCGGTGTAACACGGGGTATCTGTGCTTGTCGCTCCATTTGGATAATAGCATTGGTCGACGGCGAAGACTGCAGTAAAGAGACTCAAAAGCGACAGTTGAAGGACGAGGCCCTTGAGACGGAAGTAGGATTCCATGTCAGTGTAAGTGATGTATGAATGCTGCTTCAATAGAAAGAAAGAGCGGCTCTTTCAAATCCGCTTTCAAAACCCGGGCTATATCGGGGCTGAAGGATATCAGAAACAGAGAATCGCAAGGAAAACAAAGTGGCCTTAGCATATGTTTTATCTTTGCGCAGTACTGAGCAACATCCTTCAACTGATCAGCGCTTCCAGCCCGGGTTGAGAGCCCTCAAACCCCTGTCAATTTAAAATTACGATAAAACATCTTGAAGCCGCCCCCAATTATCATTCCATTTACATGCTCATCTTCAACCTCAAATCTAGACTACCAGCCTTGATGGAGTAGATTTTATAACTATACATATATGACAGAGGTCAGACAAAGCCTGCAGTAGTAATGTATCCATCAGAAGTATCTAGCAGATCAGCATACAAAATATACATTTCGTTTCAGCTGGGGAGAAGGCGAATTGGTGGCGCTACAGTCGGAAGGGAGCATTGGGAAATAATATGTATCTAGCCGCCCTGAGTGGAGCAACGGAATCCCGTGTCTCTCAGTAACCCTATCAGGCCACTGCACGCTACTGCGTAGTATTGGCCCCGTGCTGTACTTTTGTCATTCCCTGTCCCTGTCATGTTACGGTAATCGTTAGTACATGCGGTAATAGGGGATGATGGGTGCCAACGAGTCAATAGTATCTGGAACGATGTCAGCAGCGGCAGATGAGGGAACGAGATAGAGAGTAGGTAACACATACACTGTAGACATGAGGCAATAGGTGGAGCCTAGCCCAATATACACGGGTCTGTTCGCTCCGAGCGGCCCGCTGGACACAGCCCACTGGTACTCCTCCGTACATCGTCTAGCACGAGCGATCTCACCCGACCCACTATGCGACATCGGTTTGGTCCCCAGCCCGACATGACCCTGAAAAGGGGTTTTTGCATCGTGTGTCCTGGTATCGAATGACGAAATACAATATAGACCAGCAGAGACTTATTAGCGTTGAAGCCGGGCTTGCTAGGATGCTTTCAGGCGATACGCCGATGACCCTGGATCCTGGAAAAGTGGCACTCACTAGCGGGGTCTTGCATGGTTAATAGGGCGCTATCGCGGACATTGTCTTTGCTCATTCTCTCTTTGTCAAGTCCTTTCACCAACTTCCTTTGTTCACCCAGATATCGATCGCAGTCTGGCTAAATGGCATCTCTTTTGAAGATGAGACGATCCAACATTAATCTATCTCCATTATTGAATATTTTTCGTTATTCACGAGGATTATATCTTGCTCTGTTGGCCATACTATTATTGTTCATTTTCGGAAGTGTCTTGAATCGAAGGCAAGAATATCTGCAGTACTTTCCTTCTGGCTCATGGCCTGACCTAGGGCAATCCAGGTCTACTGTGATACGGCCTGGAGATCTAGTAAGCAGCGGGTCGCGGGAAGTACGCCCACAAGATGATCAAACGCCATTTGCCCATGAGCCGATCGGACTTGGAACTCTACGTGATGTCCGGTATGTGGCGGTCCATCTGACTCCCAATTTGTGTATATATTAACGCGTGATTGATAGGGAGGGCAACTTTTATCGCGGCGGGACTTTGACAATAGGACATGGAAGTGATGATCCTGAACCCCCAAGGCCTGTAGTCTATGACCCTTATCCCGACTATAACAGCGACCAGTGGCGCAAGGAGTTTCTCGGCAGTTTTTTTGCTTGTGACGGCCCACGAGGAAGGCCATTGAGTCGTTCGAATATCCAAGATATGGTCTCCGTTTATCCAGGAATTCCTCGAGGTATTTGCGAACCCACCCTCAATGGCGAGACAACTTTGACAGATAAGATAGATTTTCCCTTGCCCTTACTCGGATCGTATGCGGCAATAGGTATTGATGCATATACTTGTGCCAACCGCTTCTCTCGATTGGGCGCGTATGGTTACAGTGACGATCCCCAACCACACATAAATTTGAGTGAAGCCAATTGGGGAGCACTGCAGTTACAATGCGTTGAAAGGAATGCCGCAAGATACTCGACGAGGCAGACTGACTCTCATTCGATCAAATCTATTCTTCCTCTCCACCCTCCTCTTTCTTCAAGGAAGTTCCTCCGCGATCGACCGAGCTCTGCTACTCGCGACTTGAAACACAAATCAAGATCGGCTGTCATACTACGTGCGTGGCATGATATAGATTGGACTGAGAACCTCAAACAATGTGTGCGATCTCTTATCATGGAACTGTCGTTACACTCCGGCGGTGAGTATGAGGTCTTCATCTTGTGTCATGTTAAAGACAAGGACATTCCCTATACAGACGATGATGAGGCTATGCAATCTGTTAAGTCTCGCTTTGTGCCACGCGAGTTTTTGGACGTGACCATACTTTTTAACGATGAGACCTTGAAAACTTGGTACCCTAAAGTCGATGAACACAGGTTCGATACCTCCGAGGCTGATCACTATATTGCATGTCGTCTAACAGATTCACAGCACCAATTACCAGTATTGGCAACCGGTTCAGATATTTTCGCAATCGTTTCAGGAGTTTGAATACTACTGGCAACTGGAAATGGATGCCAGATTTATGGGGCACAGCTATCATTTCCTTGAAAAGTCCGTGGAATTTGCAAAGAGACAACCGCGGAAATATCTCTGGGAGCGCAACGCCTATTTCTACCTTCCAGGGATACACGGGAGCTGGCAGGACTTTGTACGGATGGTCGGCTCCTCTGTGAATGGCCGAGGCAGTGTTTGGGGGCCCCAGGGCACCTCAGATACAACGCCAGTAGGCCCCAAGCCAACTACGCCGTCTCCGGAGGACGATAAGTACGAATGGGGTGTCGGGGAAGAAGCAGATTTTATCTCCTTCTTACCGATCTTCGACCCCGTAGATACAAAGTGGACGTTCTCGAACAGACTATGGGGTGTGTCCGAGAATACTCCACGCCGAGCATCTCCCGTTGCAATGGGGCGCATATCAAAGATCCTGGTGCAACAAATGCATGATCTGCAAATCCAAGGAATGGGACTTGTTTCCGAAATGACAGCTCCTTCACTTGCCCTCTGGCATGGCCTCAAAGCCGTCCATGTACCGCATCCTGTGTACATTGATGGCAAATGGACAGCCAAAGAACTTGGACGCATCTTAAACCCAGGTGAACCCCAGAAAATCAACGGGGGAAGCGATAGTATTTGGAACTGGGACCACCGCTGGGACCACATCCTCTATCGATTATCTTATATGTTCTCTACCCAGACCTCAGAAGACCTTTACCGGCGATGGCTGGGCTACCCGATTGACCCCAATCAATTTACCGACGGTAGTTATGTGAGAATTACCCCCCTGCCTTGCCTTTTTGCAGAACTAATATCACTTCACTTCAGCACCAGGATCCACAGGGTCGAAATTGGTTCGATGGCGGTGACTTGGTTAGTATCATTCTCTTCCCCGAACATTCGAGAAGATAACGTCATTAAAGCTGACTCGGTCTTGTTCTAGCGAGAGGATTTATACGGACCACTCTGTTTTCCATCTATGCTACTTCATCCTGTTAAGAATACCGCTGAGAAGAAAGGCCCAGGCATGGCAGTTCCTGTTTGATATTTGCTTGCCAGTCCATGCAATTGTACAATTATTCTCATTTTCGCGATTAGATTTGGAGTATTTTGATTTTAAGTCACATTTAACCAAGATCATACTTGTCAGCGTACTGATCCATGAAGTCTCAGATAAGCGGAACATCACATATACTTCCCTGCCAGCTTTGGCTCAAGATATTCCCATTCCCGGCGGACATAGATCACGAGTACGGGCAACGCACCATCCCGAAGCCGCCATCCACTTAGTCGCCCGCACCCCATACAGGGCCAACAGAATGCTCGGCGTGGACTGTCCAATGTAACTCCTGCCCTCGTGCCGCAGAGTCACATGATCTTAGAACCGAGGACATGCTCCTCCTTCAATTATATGAGTCAGATGCGTACTGTACGAAAGTCTAGAAGATTACATGTAGCTCGAAAGGATCATAGCGGCATTTCTTTCACACACTATTGCCAACTTTCTTCGTTCTCCGCTTCAAGATGAGATCATTCACGGCATAAAGAATCTCTCGCGAAGAAAGAACAATAAAAACCGAGAGAAGAGATATTATAATCAAAGCCACACAGATAATCGTGAATATCGCAAATCCACGAGACGTATATGCAAACACTGACCATCCACCTTCAAGTGGAACAACCGCTAATGCCACTTGCATAGCACTGAGTAAAACACTGAAGACTGCAAAGATGAACAGTAAGGTGCCGTAGGAACGTGCAAAATACGCTCCATACTGCCCATGCACCTTGTGATACATGAGACGTCCGAAGAAAATCTTGGTCCAAAAGTTCAGACGGGAAAGACGCAGTTCGCCAAATTTGTAGCGTGGAGACACAGAATCGTCACATATCTCCTCAAATGCAGTAATGAACTTGACGAAAGATGAATATGTGATTTTTTTCGGTAGTAGTCGGTGATTATCATTGGTGGCAAGAATGAAGTCCGATTTATGGCGTATAAGATAGGCATACGAGCGCATGAATCCGAGAACTGCCTTAGCGATCTTGTGTTGCTGATACTTTGGGATCTTTGAATTTCTGTCGGCGAGGTAAAACTGCCAAAATGCGTGCGATAAGAGATACTTGGGCATTGGCTTGATGAAGACTCGATCGTAGATCCAGACCAGATGGAGGCCCGGATCTTCCGTGATAATCACTTCACGTCCTCTCACGATTTGGTGGGTGAGGGCTGATATATGAGTACTATCTTGTTTGGCGACCAGCCAAAGGAATGGCGAAAGTTTGTCCAGGTTACGCGTCATGAACTCGGACTGGAGAGTTTTGACAATATGGTCATCCTCCAATTTTATCCTTGGCTCGCCAGGAAGATGATCCTTCTCTGTCAATTGTTGAGTTGAAGAAATGGGATTGCTCTTTCGCCTCGACAAGTGGCCATCGGCGGTTATTGTGAGCTTGTCACAGAGTTGTGAGTTCTCGGAGAACGGAGCCATGCTGGAAAGACCTGAGGAGAGAATAGCGAGAACATCTTCGCCGATGAGGGGTAACGCTTCGTGTATGAAGAAATATTGCAAGCTGAGACGCGGATGATCGCACCCCTCACAATTAATGGGGCTAACGCATGTGCTATATATAGACTAGAGAGCAACCTCGAATCTCGACGTGATGAATCCCGATGGCGGTTATATGAAGACGGTTGATACGGACCACGTCCGACTCGCAATCAGTAGACTCCACCTGGCCCCTCTAGGGCGGTAATGGTAACAGTAACCCAGACGTAGGATAGCAATGCATCTGCTTGATTCGAGATAATTCATCTGGGCCCCGCCATCATGCGTTAGGGTGGCATATCACCCTGACGACTCGGTTTTTGGCTGAGGGGCCAAATTCGTGTCCAGCTCCCATTCCCTATCCACCCCCTGCTTCTCTTTCAAATAATTCATCGTGATATTTTCAACTTACATTTGGTTAACTGTGTATTGGCAATATGCTGTTTACAATCACCATCCCATACCTTTTATGGGCTATGTTCCTATCGGAAAGGCTTTTCCATCGAGTGTGGAGTTTTTCCCTCTTTACTCTTTCATGGCTGATTAGTGACATCTTCTCACTTCCTAACTATTCAATTCCAAAAATACTATTGACCATGTTCAATTTTTTGATATGTGCTGCTCTATCCCCTTTGCAGGTTGTTCTTTTCCGAGGCTCTGTGTGTATGAAGCGAGAGCGCATCACAATCTTTTCCCCCTCCGACGTGACCTCCCGAGATACCTTTCTTGCCGAGTTTGTGCCCGTAAATTGTGGTCTCTTCATGGGTTGATGGCTAATTGTCTTGTCAGTATCGTCTACGTTCACGGTCTTGATTCGAATCCACTGACAACTACAGAACGCTCATCTGAAAAGGTGTCATGGGTTCGTGATCTGTTACCGAAAGAAAATTTGAACTGTCGCATCATGGCCTTTAATTACGATACGAGATGGATGAGCAATGCCCTGAGCAAGTCGTTAAAAGATTTGGGCGATGACTTGATTCACGCTCTCGCCAGTAAGCGAGAGACCCTAGAGGTAAGAGATTGGACTTGATTTCGATTTGAATCTAGGTACTTAATTCGTCTAGGAGAAAAGCCGACCTATCATTTTGATTGGCTATAGTTTTGGTGGTTTAATCATCGACCAGGTAAGGTTGGTTCAGCATCGGGTTATTTTCAGTTGAACTAATAGGGAAACAGGCTGTGGTGAACATGGTGCAAAATAGCGATTTGGAACCTGAAATTCTCGAGAGTCTGGGAGGATTTGTCTTTTTGAGCACGCCGCATCGAGGTTCAAAACTCACTCCTATTGGAGAGATAATTTCTCTTTTTGGATACTGGAGGGGTTCAGATACCGCTCTTTTGAAAGTTATGAAAGTTGGCTCAGATGCTAGTGACGACTTATACGATCGAATTCACTCTTTTATCTACGAAAAGGATATGTCTCGCAAGACTCTTTGCGTTTTTGAAGCTCAGAGAGAATTTCTATGGGGCATAGCAATCACCCATGTGAGCTTTCAAATCCCCCGCATATGCGATATGCAACTTATATAACAATCCAGGTGGTGGACCGGGAATCAGCAGTGATTCAAGGGACAATAAAACGTTCAGCAGAGAGATTACATAGGGAGATTCAGGGATGCCAGTCTCTAAATGATGAAACGTATGAAGATGTGGTGAGATATATCAAAAGATGGCTCAAAGCCGAGAGCGAAAGAAAAATTGGTCAGCCCATCATCTGCTTTAATTGGATTCTAACACCAGCTGACAGATGTCTTGATTAGCAACGCAAACAAAACCAACGCACATCTATTTCGTCCCGACAGAGACAGTGCCAAGCTATACACAACGAGACCAGCTATGGAATGATCTGGAAAGAAAACCAACAATACGACACGAAGAGAGAGACATCCCGTATGAAGTAGTCGTGCGAGGCTTGGGGGGCAGTCGCACTTCAGGTATAATGAAAGCATAGATGTCCTGGCTCACTACAGTCTAGTACAGCGAGTGCAAGGAAAGTGGCCCGGTACCACAATGCACAGCTAGGTTCAGTGGAGGGTAACCTGTGGCGACCAAAATCAAAAATGGCAGGGGTGGTACATCAAGTTTATGCTTGCTGCATGCTCTCAACTTATCAAAGAAGACCATAAGCCACAGCTTCGTCGGCATCTCTATGTTGCATCTCCCAGACGTGTGAATATAGATTTGAGGGGTATTAGCACCAAGGAAACAGGGAAGGCTTTCATCTGGAAAACACTAGGAATTATTTACTGTAATGAAGGTTAGGGGGCGAATGCCGAGCAGCTGCAGGTGCAGATAATAGAGACATGCAAGACAAAGCTCGGCGAGGACCATCCCGACACGCTGGCTAGTATGGCGAGTCTCGCTTTCACCCGGAAATCTTCAGCTCACGATACTGAAGCCTTAAACTAATACGAGATTGCTTAACCAGGCAAAAGCAAACACTCAGCCTGAACCATCATACCAACTGTGTATAATTCTGAAATTTTATTAAAATGGGAAGCGGAGCGCTTAAATATGAACACATAGATAAGCTGGATACTTGAATATCAGATGTTTACCCAGCGATTCTTGCTTTATTCGTTGATTTTCCGCAACAATCGTTGATTGAATTCGTGCTCGCTGTAACGTGCCAGGTCTTGCAACCGAAGAGGGCATTCAATTCAAAATAACTAAGATGAGGAGAGAAAGAAGAAGCAAGTTACAAAGTTGGAAGCAGCCTATTGATATAGTTGACCACTTTGCAAACGTTGCAAACCTCGAACCTTCTCGCTTAGCTATCTAGAAAACAATCTATGAAATGCAAACTAGCAGACTATGCAAACAATAAGCGAGTGAACAAACGAGCAAGCAAGCAAACATGAAGCACATAATGATAGCGATCTATCGTAGATCGTGACCTCGCTACTCAAAATGGGATTGACCTTACTACTGTGAATATCGCTACCAAGAGATTGTGGAAAAGCAGAAGTGATAATGTCAACGAGCGAATTCTCATACGCATTGTGTAGTTTGACTCAATTTCATGCGATTTGGTTCCTACTCTGCATTTAATAACTACTTGATGATTCTCTTTCCTTCACCATCTCATACATACGACCATAGGGTGTGGAAAACAGGGCTTCCCGTCCGCTCAGCCGTACTTAAGCCACACGCCGGTGAGTTAGTAGTTGGGTGGGTGACCACCAGCGAATCCTCACTGTTGTATGTTTT